CTAGTACATTTGCACTTATTTTCCAGGTAAAATAATAAATGGTATGATTTTAGGATCAAATAAAATTTTCATGTTTCATCTGTGTTGAAATGGAGCATATTAGATTTTTAAGAGACTATGAAGAAAATCTCATCCATAGAGAGATCAAAAAATAAATATTGCAGCTATTTTAATTTCCTAACATTGTCTGTATTTTTACTTCTTTTTCTCATGGCATCCACATTTCTGGGCCTTTTGCTGCTAGTTGTTGAAAAAACCATTTGGTCTTCCAGCTCAAATCACCGACTTCAGACCTTCACTTCCTTGAGGCTGCAATTTGAGCATCTGCAAATGAGGCCAAGTTCAAGCCAGAGTGAAAGTTTTTTTTTCTTTCATCCCTTTTGACAGCATCCCAAGTCACACTGCTGTGAGAGGAGAAATGTCAAACTGAGGTGAACACCCAGTTCGGGTCTGCTCTCTGAGCCCTACTTCAGGGAAACGTAGAAAGGAGGGGTGATAACTCAGCCACTTCTAAAAAAGGAAAATGATAACAACCTTGGGAGGCCCAACCATAGAAAACAGTCCGGTGGGTGCACCTCAAGGCATGGATCTGCTTGGGGTAGAGAGGGAGGAGTTGTGGGTCTGGCTGAAATGCAGGCCGGTCCGTGCTTTATGTGCTTGTGAAAGAGAAGGTGGGTGGAGGCCAGAGCCTGTGCTCAGTTCTCTGTGTTTACTCAGCAAGAGATCCACACCCCCTGCCCCTAGAAGAGGCCAGGGCTCCACCAGAGAGGATGCCCCTCCCCCGGAGCAGGAGTTGTGCTGGCCCAGGTTCATTCTCCGTGGCCCGGCAGCAGCACTCTTTGTCCAGGGACTTTGGTTCGCTTGCCTGACCACACATCACAGCGGTTCCTTGAGACCACCCAGGACCCACCAGGCTCCTTCCCGCCTCTGTGCCGTTCCCTACTGTCTCTCTATCAGGAGGTTCCTGAGAGCAGGAGACAGGATTATTACCATGCTCAGGATTATTACCTTTAGAAGGAAGAAGTGTAGATTGAATCTGGTAAGGCCTAAGGCACAAAACCTGTGACTCCTCAATCTGGATTAAAAGCTAGGCTTGACTGACACTAAATACCGTGGCCTTTGGTAATCCCCTGTCATTCTCTGGTCTTTATTTTTCTCTCTGATATTGGTTATTGTTAAGGCTAAATGACATTCATTCATTCATTCATTCATTCATCAAATACTCATTGTATTCTCTGGGTCAGAAACTTTCAGGTGCTATAAATACACCAAGAATCATTCTTGGTTCAGGGAGCTTATTTGGTGAGGGAAGACAGTATTGTGAAGTGAGCTAAGTGTGAAGCGGGAAGTGGGTAACAGTTAGGGATAAGGAGGAAAAGAATGCTATAGAGAGGCATAACATTTTTAGGTAGGGTAGTGAGCCAGATGGGTAACTAAAGGAAAAGCATTCCAGACAGGGTGGATATGCTAAAGTCTCTGAAATCAAGTCAGGCACATGCAAGGAAAAGCAAAGAGTATGGCTGGAATGGAATGAAGGAAAGGGTGTCTGAGTCTATCCCTTTAAGCTGCTATAATAAAATACCACAAAGTGCCAGCAGAGCCAGTGTCTAGTGAGAGACAACTTTCTGGTTCCTAGGAAGTACTTTCTTGTGGTGTCCTCACAGTGGAAAAGGCAGAGCAGATTTCTGGGGGCTCCTTCATATGACAGCTCTATCTTCATGCCCTAACCATGTCCCAGTGGTCCAACCTCATAACACCATCATCTTGGAGATGAACAGTTCAACTCCAGGATTTGGAAGGTGCACAATGTTCAGATTGTAGCAGAGGCAGAATGGAAGATATGACGTCATATAGGCAATGGTCAGGGGTGTGGAAGCCTGGAGGTTGTGGGACAATGGAGATATTTAGGCTTTTTATAAGAGATGATGTATCAGAAAACAAAATGTGTGGCGTTTTCTGGGATTTTGGTTCTGCACTTAGTCTACTTTGCAGGTTTTAATGTCTCATTTTGGTTCTGTAATCCTGCCTTATGTGGAGCTGTGATTCTCAGTGCCATTCTTGAGCAATACATACTATATATTTCTGCTGCAACTGGATTTGTGTCTGTTATGGTTGTGCATGGATTTTTAAATTGTGTGGGCTTATGATGGGGTATAATGTTTTATGATGAAGGCGAGGAGGTGTATTTTAAAGCCAGTCTACTACCAAGGAAAGACCTAATTCCCCTGAAATGCATGAAAAGGTCACTTAGTGAGGATCTAAGCATAGAAGGTCAGATGGTGAACTGAGTACTTTGGCAGCACCACTGTAATGAAGGAGGAGCAAATGCATAACCCAGTAACTGTGGATGCTTTTAAAGACCCTGTAAAATGTTGTTATAAGGCTCTAGTTATTGTGTTACTGCTGATGTGTTAAAATCTGCTACTCAGAGATTTTAATTCTGCTAAGTGTGCTGCTAAAACTGGAAATATCCAAAAAGTGTGATGCAAAAACAACATGTAAAGAAGATTGGGAATCACTGTTTTATAACCCAGGGAACTGTACCTACTGATTCTGTGTTGAGTGGACCACTTCTGGCTAAGTATGCAGTCAGACACCAACGCTGACTAGTCAGGTTGGTTGTTGAATTAAATGGATTGTTTCCCTTTGAAATAAGTTGGGCACCCGCTTGATAAAACACCACAACTTTCATGATCCAATTTTATCATCACAAAGCTTTTGTGAAATAAGTAATATGAGTTTGTCACCTTCTTTTTACGAGGGATAAAAATGGGAAAACAGGAAAAAGGAGAGACTCACCCACAGTCACACTACTATTTAGTGGCAACAGAAATGAGACATGCATCCAGAGAATTAACAAATTTTCTTTCTGTTCTAGACAAATTTGTAGATGATAAGAACACAATAGAGGAAGAAACTGGGGCAAACCAACCATTTGTTGTGTGTGGCAAAGAACCATTCCAGCACCCAGATGCCTTCCATTTTTACCAATTATTTTGTGTGTTCTGCACAAAGAGCTCCCTGCCGATGTTGGAGACACAAGCAACTCCAAAAATGTGTTACCTTCAGGCATCTGAGACACCAACTGATTGTGTAGCCAAACTACATTCCTATCTGTGTGATGGCAACTTCTGTATCCCGTATTGTGATTCTAGACTTTGCAGGCCTGATTAAGCAGAGCTGAGAGTGAGTTGGGTGTTAAGGTCAGCATAAGCCAATGATTAAGGCATCTCTTAAGTGAGAGTCATTACCATTTTGATTTTGTAGCTTAGTTCCCCCAACTAGATTGACCCCTTAGAGGACCATACCCATTTTTGTTTTATTTTGGAAACTTCCCACCAATGCTCATCCTCTAGAGCAGTGCTGTCTAGAACTTTCTAGGATGGTAGAAATGTTTTGTCAAATATCATAGCGATGACCCACATGTGGCTACTATATATTTCAAATACAACTGGTGTAACTGAGGGACCAATTATGCAATTTTATTAGATTTTAATTAATTTAAATAGCTACATGTGACTGGTGGTAACTATATGGACAGTGCAGTTGTAGGAATGCTATAACTCCTATATCTTATTTTTGATGCTGCTGGTGGCACTGGCAACTGAGAGCTCTACAAATAATCTTTCTCTGGAAATTACTCTCAAAGACTGTCTTCTGGCCCAGATTCACATCTCTATCTAGGGCAGCTCACCTTCAGTGACTGCTCAGGACAGACCATAATGGGTCAGTGCTGCAGTCCAATATGGGACACTTCTGAAGGACTGTACTACTTCCGAACCTTTGATGGGACAGGCCAAGGTTTCTGGTGCACTGTATCACAGTTCAATTTCTCCCCTGTCCAGCCTTTCTTCCTGCCTCCTTCATGGTTGTTGACCCCAGCAATAGTCCCTAGTGAGCTACATGCACGTAAATACCTGTCTCAGGCCTGACTTCTTGGGAGTCTGATTGAAGACACATTTCTAGTTATGCACATCTCATAAATCAAGTATTAAAAATAAACACATTGTAGTATTTTAATGTCTTACATTATATTTCTACATGATACTAGGAAGAATAAGACAGACTATCTGAATAAAGAGTATGCATCTGTAAGCTCTCTGTCCCTAGGTCAGGGGAAGGAAATACTTTATGAGTGACACTGCAGTTTGAATTTTATCACAGTCACTTCTTCCCACTCCTACCAAGTCATTCCTTTATTCAACAAATATTAATGATGCATCTTCTATGTTCTAGTAGACCCAATCTAAATTTTGTGTTGTTGAAGAACATTCCAAAGTAGAATAATATTTAACAGCACATAAAAATGATAAGAAATTAAACTTTCAGTGCCTGCGTATGGTCTTAGCAGAGGACAAAAATGCCCCCTCCTTACAGACAGCCTGTGCCTGCTGTCACCCTCCCCTAAACAGACTGGAATGATCACAACAAAGACAAGACTTGGTCCACAAAGCCTGAAAAACTTACTCTATAGCCTTTCACAGGAAAAACTTTCTGACCCCTACGTTAGTGCAATCAAGAAGGCTGTCCAGTAAATAATTATGTAAGAAGGGAATTTTAAAGCATGAAAATGGAGTTTTCCAAGCAGAAGATGCCCAGAAAAAGGTAACTATGGAGGAAGATATAGCATGTGCAAAGGCACAGAGGCAGGGGACCAGAAAGGAGCAGTATAGAAGTGCTCACGATTGTGTTGTATCTGGAACATTGTAGGAAATGTCTGGAATCAGGTTACTAAATAAGGACCAAGTCTGAATTTCTTTTTTACTCCTAAGAATAGAGGGTCACTGAAGTGTTTCCATGAGACGTGGCCTGGCCAGTTCTGAGTTTGAAGGCGGTCTTTCTGGTCTTTCGCTGTGGAGGAATTTCTGGAGGTGGCAAAAGTAACACAGGGAACATTCAACAGTACAGACACCAATTGCTTTAAGTGAAGCAGCGGTGGTGGAATCCTGGTTCCTTTGTGAGCTCACAGGAGTGTGAGGTGCTTATAGGAAGTTCCTTTCCACAGGCTTGTGAGTGTGAAGCCAGGACATGGGACAGGAAGGGAGTGAATCAGAGGTGGAGGAGGCTCTGTGTATGGACAGGAAGCTATGTGAGTTGCAGCAAAAGCAGATGAAGGACGTAGGTTAGGGAAAGTCTCAGGGGCTTTGGCGAACACCATGGGCTTTGTATGTGATGTGTGAGGTCCAAGGGAAGTGGCTGGACCAGAAGAGTAGCGGCAGCCACTGCACACAATGGGGCACGGGGAAGAGAGGAGCGGGCCGGCAGGGTGGGCACAGGATGCTGATAATGATAACAGTAATGATGATAATAGCAATAATAACAGTGGGAGGTCAAAGGCAGCTTCCTGTGAAGCTCACAAGACCAGAAAGGGGCTGGTATCCCTCTCATTTTCCTAGTGTGGGGCCTTCAGTCATGAAAAGCAAGCTTTGTTTCATAGAAACTGAAGTCAACTGCTGCCAGAGGGGAAAGGATAGTGAAGGCTGAGGTGGGATATTTTCCTAGCACGGGAACCAAGGTAAATACAGGAAATGGAGTCTTTAATTCTGCTTGAGGTTAAACAAAAGAGCATGAAGGCTTCAGTAGTGTTCCATGGTTCCTTCAGCGGGTCAGGAATCATGGAGGAGCCTCCCTAGCTTGTAAGGCTGTGCCTGAGAATGAAGTGAGATTGAATGAAGCCTCTGTCCTTTCACAATGAGGACATGGCTGTGTAGGGTAATTCTGTCAGAATCTCCACGATGTCAGAATCACATTTCAGCCCCTGTATCCACATCCTCATCATGAAAATGGCTAATATTTTCCTCATGTCTAGCCATCAAAACTGAAGTACTCATCTGATCAGGAAGTCAAAGCTCGCAGGACACTGCTTTTTTTTGGGGGGGGTAGTTATATGGTAGAGGGCAGGGAGGGTAACTTAGGTGACAGTGTGGTTAGGAGCCCAGGAGAAAAGAAGTCATAAACCAGGGTTTGCCTGCAAGTCTAAGCTGGCCTTAGCCTTTTGAGAATAATATTATATTTTGAATGATAATAGATAACATTATCTCACTGCTCCTAGGCAGATAACTCTTCTTGGTCAAAACAAATATTAGCACTGTTGTACAGGGGAACCAATAGCTAGAGGAATTATGGCTATTGCTCAAGTCACAGAGCCAGTGGGTGGAAAAGTCAAATTCAAGTGAGAGGGATGGGGCTTCAGAAGCCCTGCACCTGAGTGCTATTGGAAGAGCTTGGGGTGTTAGAGGAGCAATTTATACGATCCTCTCTGTTGACTGGGAACCAGAATGCCTTTTCTACTCTTCAGTCATTCTGTTTTTCCCCTTCTCACCTTCCTACCTCCTCCAGAGTGGCCTTCCAAAACTTCTGAAACCAAAGGATATCTCAGCAATTTGTTTGGTTCCTTCAAGGCATTGGTTATGATTATTTTTACTTCTCATCATCTTTTTTGTGTGTTTCTCCCAGTAGAATACAAGTTTTGTGTAATCAAGGACTGTGTTTATAGTGCTCATCCTTATATTTGACACCAAATGAAGCATTTGGTACATAGTATGTGATGAATACTTTGTTGAATGACTGACAGCTTAAGCTCTTGAGAAATGGAGCCTTACCCTCTGGAGGGCAAAGTGGATAGCATCTCTCTGGTGTGCTAGTTTGCAGGACAGAGGGATTGGAGTGAAAGATGGACTTGCGAAGGGGCAGAAGAAAATGCCTCACATTTCTCTTTACTTTCTGCATTTTGTTATGGAGGAGCATAATCAGAGATGGGGTAGCCCAGGTAGGTGCAAGAGAAACAAAGCAGCTCTAGTGGCAGTGTTGAGGAACAAGGTGTAGGGGGAGCGGAGTCTTTCTGTGCAGCATTAGCTGTGAGGGGCACTAGCTTTGCAGACTAGTTTACAGCTCATTTGCTTCTCACAACAGTACTCTGAGGTAAAGGCTTCTACTGGCATTTCCATATATAGGTGATGAAATAGAGACCTGAAGATGATAGTCCAAAGCTATCTATGTAGATGGCAGGGGGAGGATCCTAACTTAGGTCTTCAAATTTAGATTATCTCTGTAACTCCTTTCCTTAGTGTTTAGGAGTGAGACTGACTAGGCTCTTGAGACTGACTACATGGGATCGCATCTCTGTTCTGTCATTTATTAGATGTATGCTTTTAGGAAAATTGTTTAATTTTTCTATGCCTTAGTTTTTTCATCTAAAAATTTAGACCCTACCTTATAATGTTGTGTGAGGTCTAAGTAGGTCAGTTGTATTCGGATAACAAACCTAGAATAGTACTAGGGTCTGTCATATATATGTCATGTTGTTATTGTCCTCCTCCTCCTCATCATCATCAATCATCATTGATCATCTTATTGGCCTCAGCACTTCTTATGCCTGTCCACTTATGGTGGTTAATTTTCTATGTCAAGTAGACTGGGCTAAGGGATGTCCAGGAAGGTGATAAAGCATTACTTCTGGGTCTGTCTGTGAGGGTGTTTCTGGAAGAGATTAGCATTTGAATCAATAGACTGAGTAAAGAAAATCATCCTCACCCATGTGCGTGAGCACCATCCAGTCTGTTGAGGGCTTGAGTAGAACAACAATACAGAGGAAGGGTGAAATTGCTTTCTGCTTGGCTGATCTGGGACATTATTTTTTCCTGTTCTCAGACAGGGGCTTTGTTCCTGAACTATGATTTATACCATTGGCTCCTCTCGTCTTCATGTTTGAGCCAGAACTACATCCCTGGGCTTCCAGTATGGGTGGCAGATTATGGGACTTCTCAGTCTCAATAATCATGTGAGCCCATCCTACACAGTCAATCTGTATTTACATATATCCTATTGATTCCCTCTCCCTGGAGAACCCTGACTAAATTACTTCTCTTGGGCTAAGGTCGTACAGAGTCTCTAAGTCACCAGCAAGGGGAACCATCTAGAAGATATAAGTGAAAGTTCCAAATTAGGGGACTCCTGAAAGCAGCAAGAAATAGATCACATCTAGTTCTTATGACAATTACCTTTCCTGTGCTGCTTCTTTCAAAGGCTAAGAGGTTCCATTTCAGGTTTCCTGAGTTTCTGCACAGTGACTGTAACTTTTCTTTCCTCTCCTCTTTTACTTTTGGTGGAAAAGGAGAGTAATGAGTAGAAGACTTTAATAGGAAATGAACACATCAAAGTAACACTATTTGGTAATTTGAGATAGCTCATCAGATAGACTGCCAGGGGTACCACTGGGAAGAAAAACAAAAGGATGGGCTGGAGCCAGATTCTAAGTGCAAACACAGGAGTCTCAGTGTTGTAGTCAGAGTTTTCAAGGGAATAGATTTAATACAGTACACAAAATTTATAGAATTATTTTATAGTATTCACCCAAACAGTCAAAGGCAGAAGAGTGCAGGAGATCTGTCCACACACTAGAGACATAAAGAGTTCAGCTGAGGGAGGGCCTGGATCCCACAGCAATGTCCTGAATGAGTCCAGCTGAAGACCTCGAGTCAATGGCAAGGTTCTCTGAGAGTCCAAGCATATGCCTAGAGCCCACGACAATATCTCATGCAAGGATCTGCACTGGAAAGGCCCAAAAGTCAGTGGTGGAAGCTAGAAAGTCTGCACCAGCAGAATGAAGGATCTGTGCCAGCAGACTGAGGAATCTCCACTGGAGCCAGGAAGCGACCCTCCAGGTAAGGACCTGAGATCATCTGAAAAGAACCACAGCCATCCTCAGCAACAGTGAAGCACTGAGCTCCTCCAATGATGAGGACTGAGTTTATGTCAGGAAAACCAGCACGACAAGCTTCTCCAGGAGAATCAATTTCACACCATCTTCCCCTCCAGTTCTGCTTTTATGCTGTCGGCATCATCCTTAGGTGGGCCTTTCACACTCAGAACTATGTCGACTCAGTTTAGCTGGGTGTTACAAGTTGACCATTAGTTAACCAACCACACTCAGGCTGGTCTTTTAGCTATGTCCAATGTCCTTCTGGGGTATTAGAGGAGACATAAAGTTAATGTGAGAGAGGAGACTCTAAGATACTTCTCTGAAAGTGGTCTTTGAAAAAAAAATAATGCTCTGTACAAACTGTGTGTATTATGGATGTTCATGACCAGAAATACAAGATTGCTTTTCAATCTGTTAGTGGGTTAGATTTGCTCATTTTACATTTGAAATATAACTTAAAGTTTCAGTAGTGAATGAATGGCTCTTGGGAGTTTGGGATAGATTCTTTTAATTTGACTCCCTCCAACAGGATGATATTAAGGGTCTTAAGAGCCCATGCACCATTTCTCTCTCTATTCTAGGATGCCCAGTTCTCTCTTATCTTGACTGTCACTGGGTCTGGAGATCTAACATCAAAAATGGGGACAGAGCTTGGTTTCTAGTGGGTGGCAAGTGTCATGACCAAAAGAGTCATGACTCCTTATGTGGCCCAACAGCAGTTTTGGAAATATAAATTTTTTCTGAGTTTCTTAACTAGTTTTGTATTTTGCATTTTCCTGAACTCAGGAAATCCTAAACCCATCTTTTCTAGAGAACCCAGGTGGGCAAATGATAAAAGGACTCTGGTCTCCCTATAAGTCTGTCTACTACAATGTAATACCTGGTATATACATTCTCACAAGTCAGTACTGTATGCAAAATCCTGCAGTAAAAGATATAGGACTTACAGAAATAAAGGAGTTAGGGCCACGATACACAATGGCTTCACTAGTGACTGACAAAAATAACCTAAATAAAAACAGTGGTAGAGTTTTTCATGTTAAGTGGTTAGGCATATGTAAATACTACTGTAAATATGGCAGTTTACCTTTAAAAAGATGCAAGATTACTTGTTAAAGTGAGCAGGGGGTCGCAGACTGTGGGTCATCACAAAGGAGAGTCGTCTGAAGGCAGATGGAAAGGTAAATCACCAAGTGTGGGTTATAACACTAGTAGATGTTTAAAGTATGTGCACATGTGCGTTTTGTGTATTCCTCCACATTCCAGTAGAATGAGATGGGGTTTTCTGTATTCATCTAGTGCCTTTTGTGGGATGAAATAAAATATAAACAGACACAGAAACCACATTATGCATAAGTTGTTCCCTAATATATAAATCCTTTTAGAGCAAATTCCATCCTCAAAAAAAAGAAAGAAAAGAAAAAATCCAAAACTTAAGAGGAACACTGACTATACCTACATTATCTGTTCAAAGCCCACAACCACTCAGTAGGTCAGCACCAATTTTATCCTCATTATTGATCAATTCTGAGACGCAATTTTATATTTAAGTTTTCTAGGATCTCAGACAGTATGGGGCAAACTTTGGATCTCATATAATCTGTTAGCTATGATGTAGCTTGTGACGTGGTGTTATCATTAAATAATTATTTAATTAATTCCCTATATCCAGCCCTCATTCTATGGGCAATAATTCTAATGCATTAGTTGTGGAACCTTTGAAACAGCTATAAGTATATTTCAATTTTTCTCATGCGGGGAATCCAGGCTGAGAAAGGGTAAGTTTAAGGTCATGTTTGTATTAGATGGTTGTATTACTTTCCTAAAGCTGACACAACAAATTACCATAAAGCACAAGACTCAGAACAACATAAACTTATTTTCTCACAATTCTGGAGGCCAGAAATCTAAAATCAAGCCTTAAACAAATCTGTTACTCCTCTTGAAGTTGTGGGGGCTAAATTTTCCTTGTCTTTTTGGATTCTAGTAGGTCTGAGTATGCTTTGGCTTGTATTTTCATTACCATTTCTGTCTCCATCTTCACATAATCTTCTGCCCTAGGTCTCTGTGTCTCAAATCTTCCTTTCCTTCCTCTTATAAGATGACCTCATCTCCAGATTCTTAACTTAATTACATAAAGAAGATCAGATACACAGGTGCTAGGAGTTAGCACTTGGGCTTATATACTTTTTTCCAACTCAGTACAGTAACACAGAGATTTCAAAAGAAGCAGATTTCCTTTGTGGTACCTATGGATCCACTAGGCTCTTGAAGTTCAAGAATAGTATTCCATTTCCAAATATAGAGTAAGATTTTAAACTACTCAAACTGATAAATTCCACCGTTGGAAAAACTTAATTTTGAATCCTTCTGCCAAGTTATCTTCCCCTCTTTGAGGGATAGTTACTGAGAGGATCATTTCAGTATCAAAGAGGGAGGCTTCACTGAAAGTATCTCTGAGGCATTTTGGCTACCAGGGGAAGCCTTGTGTTGCAGATGAGTATACCTGAGTGTGGTAGACATGTCTAGGGCATAGGGCCCACGTCTTTCTGAAAAAGGGTTTCTCTTTTAGCTCAAGGATGAAACTTTTAGAGGTCCTAGAACACCAAATTACCTGGATAAGTGGTTCTCCAACTTCAGCGTATGGAGAGACATGTGCTTATTAAAACACCGATTCTCAGATGTCACCTTCAGAGTGAAACTTATGCAGTAGGTGTGAACTGGAGCCTGAGGTTTTGCATTTCTAACAATATTCCAAGTAATGCTATTGTTGTTCGCTGAGAAACTACAACGTCAATAGCACTGATCTGGGCAGATTATCCAAACAGGGCAGATTTTCCATTAGCGTGTGTATCATAGCCAAAGACAGTTCTCCAAGAGCAGCTCAAATTATAAGAAATTATCATTTGTACTATTAGCCTAAACACGCATCAGCAGTCAAATGGATCAAAAAGTAGTGTATTTATACAATGAAGTATTATTCAACCATAAGGAAGAGTGAAATTATATTATTTTCAGGAAAATGGATAGAAATAGAGATCATCAGGTTACATGAAATAAACCAGACTCAGAAAGATAAATATCACGTTTTCCAGTTAAGTGAGTTCTAGAAGAATAAAAAGCGTCATGAAAACAGAAGGGATATTATAAGAGAAGAGAAGAAACCAGAGGGATTGGAGAGGAGGACACAGAACAGAGGGTAATAGGGAATTGATAGGATCAAAATATGTTAAACACATGTACGAAAGTGCCATAAGGAAAGCTAATATGTTGTACAATTAATCTGCTCTAATACAAAATATGTACACTGGGAAAAAAGATGGAACCCGTAAGCCAGAGAAATACTTCCCAATTCTTCTTTCCCAATACTTCTTTCTGTGCCTTCCCAATTCTCCTAACCCCTGCAGCAGAGTGGCTACCTTTCATTCAAGTCCTAAATTCTTCTCCACTGAGGACGAGCCTGCCAACTTTTTCTTCCTCTTCCCCTTGCAGATCTTTGACTCTGATTCCCCAAATCCTTGTATATGAATCCTAATATATAGTATTAGGTTTGACCTATTGAGCTTTAAAATGGAAAACTGATGCAGAGGGAGAGGTGGAGGGTGGAGTGGCAAGGCAGATAACACTCCCAAGTTGATAAATCTTGTCCCTCGCAAGCCTATTAATATTTTACATTTAAACTCTAAGGGGAAATCTCGCTGATCCAAAGTGACCCACAACCACTCAAGAGAGTGTTTCTTTTCTAAATAATTTAATTTTTTATGGTAGAAAAGTAAGAGGAAGGGTGTCCTGAGTAGCCCCATTAACCTATAATTTTTCTCTACAATGTTACTGAAATTGTGGTCAAATTTAAAAGTCGCTCTAAGACAAAATTTGTGAGTATTTTATTTGAATCTCTTCTAATAGTCTGATTTTTAGTTTTAGGCAGAAAGAAAGATATTAAATTCTTCTATTATAACTGTGATTCTGTCAGGTTCTTTGGTATATTTAGAACCACTTGTCTTATGTAACGGGCTGCTACGTTGTTTGTAGCATAAACATTTAGGGCTGCTTAAAATGATGGATTTATATTTATCCATTTTCATCAATAATTTATATGAAGCATCAGCCTATAAATATTATTTAAAGCAGTAGAATCCATTTCCTCATGTAAATCTTAAGCAAAAAGATCTTAAAACATAAGGTATTTGGACGTAAAGGAGATAGGACTGTTCCAGCCTTTTTGTCTAGCCTATGCAAAAAAATGTACCTCACAGATCATAATTTTAAAGGTATTTTCCGAGATCTCCCTTGGATGGTCCATCGTGAATGTCTTAGGGCATCAGGGCTCTCCTGGAACCTGGTTTGAAAAGAACTGTGGGTCCAGTGAGCTGGTGAAGCATAGTTTTCATCAAATCAGCCTTATTTTGCCTCTCCCACATGATGGCTATTCCCAAATATATGTGGTTAATTGGGATTATGAACTCTAATCTGTTACTGATGAAAACACTGTTCTATCCAGTGATGACTAGTGATGAAGATGAATAGGGATGATACCAATTGCAGGTAAATGTGGATGGGGAAAAGGTCATTGGGCCAAAGAAACTTATGAGGTGACGCAGAGTGATTATAAAGGTATTTTTCTAATGTTTCACATCTGTCCTCATCTCTTACCTATTCTGATCAGGAGATAAGACAAACTAGAAGTGCCTTGTTGGTCCCTGTTTGTCTAGCGCTAGTCATACTTAAGCAAAAAAATAGAAGATAAAATAAAAAAGACACTTAAATGAATAACTTTACACTGGCTTATAAATTAGAAAAGAGGATGAGAACAGAGTGGGTACTGACAGGAGAGTAACTTGTAATACTAATAGTTGTTTATATTTAATAAACACTTAAGGTACTTTTATTGCACTTCTCATTTGGTTCTCATTTCAGCCCCTTGCATTCTCATTATGCCTAGCTTATTGATGGAGACGCAGACACACAATGATCTTAAGTGACTTACACATGTACTCCTTGTGGCTGGGCTCTCTCTGTATGAAATTTTAGAGGAAGGATAAAGTCTAACCCTAACTTGTGATTTTCCCCAGGAGGATTACATAGGAGAAATTTACTTGAAAATTATTCTTTTAACTAGAGTTAAGGAGAAATACTGCAGTGAGAAAATGGACCTGGCATGAGACACAGACCTGGAGGTTGTCTCTCCAGTAGAAACTTCTGCATCTCCTGGGTTGGAATTCAGCTCCTGGAGGGCACCAACTGGTCTCTGCTATATCCCAAGCACTCAGTGTATCCCAAGCGCTGGTCTCTGCTATATCCCAAGTGCTCAGTTTCTTTGTCAGTTACTGAACAAGTAAATGAATCCACCACTGAGTGACTAGTCCATGACAGTATCATAGACTATCAGGAAAGACAGATGTAGAAACAAATAATTCTGAACAATGTGATGCTTGATGACATAGATACACCCAAAATTCTAAACAAGCACAAAAGGAGGATGAATGAATCTTGACCTAAAATATGTGAGAAAGTGTCACAGATATTATCACACAGGCTCCTTGGCTCATCTCTGATTTGGTGATGCACCATGAGGGATGGGATTGCTGGATGTCCCAAATGATCGAGCAGGCTAATATAGACCCATCATACCATGCAATGATCCTGTTTCCCTCTTGGTGTCTGGGCTGGTTTCATTTAAGAAATTTGTGACAGGGTTGTGATATTTCCCTTGCTGGATGAATAATCGATAGAGTTGGATAGTATATTCATTTTGGGTCACTGGGGTCAGGTGGGCTATGAGGAGTCTGATAGGTTTCTGGTTTCTTTTTGTTGCTCATTTACAACAGAGTTGTAAAAGATCTTAAAAAGAAAAAGAGAATCTAGGAGAAGGAAGAGGATGACTGAAGCCAGGCAAATTTTGTTCCATAGGGCAAATATGCTGAATTATCTGTATAATACAGACTACATACGCATATACACATACGTACAACTAAAGCCAACTTAAGCACACTCAAGATTTCATATGCATCTGTCTGTGTTCTGGCCCAAGGACTTTCTCTAGCTATGCACAGGAGAGCTTGAGGCTCATGAAGTTTTCCTTGCAGAAGCTGTCTAACCAGAGATGGGCAAGAGTTCTTGGACAAATGTCCAGATTTTCACCTCTCAGTGGGACGACTCTGAGGTATGTTCAGTTGACCCTAGTGGGAATAAGTCACCAGGGCCCAGGGTGGGTCACAGGGTTATTATCACGGCCTTTTGCCAGCTTTCCCTGCTAACACATATTAACCAGCTCCCACTCAAATCCTCAGGGTTGATTTGGGGGAATTCAAACTAAGAATACTTGACAGATAGACCCCACATATACCTTTTGAATTTGCAGAAATACATACAGAAATTTTTTTAAAAAATGATGCTTCTTAGGGAGATTTGAATTTCAATGTCTAGATATATCTTTCAAACTTAAATGTCAGGTTCATCTATACCTCTAGTAAATTTTCCTGCAATAACATAATTGTTTTTGTGTTGTTTTGTTTTTGGTATTTTTCTTAGTTTTTGTTCTTTTCCCTTAAAAGTAAAATTCAAAAAATTTGTAGAATTTTCATGTTTTAAGTATTTACAACTTTCAGGAGATACAGAATCTAATAGATTTTGAGTAATTTTGTATAAAATTATAACCTTTTCCTCCTTTTAAATTTTATTTGGCACAAGACTGCCTGTCCCACATGGTGAATGCATGAAAAGCCCCTGGTGAAAGGAGATTCTTTTTATTTGAGTTATTTTCCTGAAAATGTATTGTCCTAATATTTCTTTGGAGTATGTGAAATTCCTCTGGGGGTTAAAGGTGGGTGGTGAGTTGCTTAGAGAAGTAGTTGTGGCCCATCCTTGGCTATGATATTTCCTGTATATTTAGTCTGGTTTTGAGTACACAGTTGATGCTAAACAAAGGCTAACTAATGATAACCTAATAAAAATGAGTTTAGGGCAAACAAATGCAATGCATGATGATACCCTAGATTTTTCAAATAACATTCATCACGTTTATTTTAGTCTTCTCAAACATAAGCCAATGTTTCAAGTCAATACAGTAGGAAAGAGGGGGTCTGGCTTTGCTTGGTTGTTTCTTAAGAATGTCCCATTCTGTGGATGCCTCTAGTTCCTTGGCTGAGACAAGGAGCTGAGACACACATTGAGATTTAGTGCATCATCCAGGAAATTATCTTGTTCCAAGAGGGATAAAAGTTTGATTTCATTAATAGCATCATTGAACCACAGGCTCTCTTGTTTACAACTTGGGTCAGGATCAATAAGAAGAAGGTGAATATAGTGTTGACATTTTTTTGACCTTCCAAGAACTATTTCATTTCTCATTCATTGCGATTCTTCCATAGAAACCACGTAGGGTTAATTATCATACGCCCTACACCAAGTTCCCCCTTTAGATTTTCCTTCCTGGTTCTGGACCTGCCCTGTCTTTCAGCCACTATATCTTGAAGATGAATAACTGTACACAATGTGGTATGTACACACAGTGAAATATTATTTGGTCTTTAAAAAGAACAGTCTTACCGTATGTAATAATATGGGTAAACCTAGATAAATAAAACAAGCTAGTGACAGAAGGTCAAGTGGCACATAGTCTCACTATGAGATATATGAAACAGTTTAACCCATACAAGTACAATAGAATGGTGGTTGTCAAGGGCTAGAGAGAAAGAGAATGGGGAGTTACTATTCTATGGATACAAAGCTTCAGTTATTCAAGATAAACAAGTTCTAGGGATCTGCTACACAGCACTGTATTTGTAGTTAACAATGCATGATTAAATATTTGTTTAAATATTTATTTTATGCTAAGTGTTCTTACTACAATAAAAATAAAAGTATAACAAAGAGACATACTTATATTCTAAATCTCACCAAGTTCTCTGAGCTTCAATTCACTTCTCTGGAAACAAGAATAATGCCAAGTTAGTGTCACTGTGAGAACTAAATGTAATAATATTTACTGGGTGTCTGGTACATTACTAACAGTAAATGGTATTAGTTTTATGCCCATTGGAGAGATGTGCATAGCTTAGTGGTGAGTTTGAGCTCTAGAGCCAGCCTGTGAGTCTGAATTCTGTCTTTGCTACATCCTGGTTGCATGGTCTGGGAAAGTTTCTTATCTCTTATCTCAGTTTCCCTATCAGATACATAGGGTAAACAATATTGTCAAACATAGAAGGTTAGTTTGAGAATTAAATAAGGTAGTGCATGTAAAGAGTTCAGTGGATGTTAGTTATTATTATTAATTTTCTAGGGAGATGAGTAGCCCTTTTTCATTATCTCTTCATTCAGTTCTCTTATTCTATTATTCTTCTTTCCCTGGTGGGAAAAATGGGTCGGTCCTCTTTGCTAAACTTATGAAGGAAAATGCTGATCTCCCAAAAAAGCTACTGAACAGTAATTCTCAACATACATAGTAAACCTGAGCTATACATGAAAGGCTGTTAAAGTAGGTCATTGCCACAGGGCTGCTTAGAGAGGGTGCCGCTGGGGTGATTTATGTCTGGGGGGATTATTAATTAAACAAAAGATGGTCTATGTTTTTGAAAAATGCCTCTGCCATAGAAGAACCGGGTATGAGAGACATAAAGGAATACATGTAATTAAAGAGTGTATCATTATCCATCTATCTATCTATTATCTATCTATCTATCTATCTATCTATCTATCTATCTATCTATCTATCTATCTATCTACCTACCTACCTAAAAGATCATGCACTAAATAGCTTTTCTTTCTGTATTTAATGCTATGGAAGTTTTAACAGATCTCTGTTGAGTTTGGACTGACTGAGTTTGACTTTGGCAAACTCACTGTAAAAGAGATGATTTGCACACACAAAATCACTGCTTCAGAAAGGGATTGGCTCTTGTTTTTAAAGAGGAGTAGACGAAGGACATCTGTGATCTGTAATGTGTGTGTGTGTGGTGTGCACATTTTAGTTCTAGGTGCATGAGCATGGGCTGTTTTTTCACAAAGGCTTTCTTTTGAGGAGCTTGACAAGAACAGAAGTTAGAGGCATGACCCGTCATAGGTCACTGTCTCTTGTGAGAATTTGAAATTTGAAGAAAACTCTCTAGTTCATTCTTGATGCTTCTCCCTTTATCTGTCTTATAGTAGTGAACCCTTCTTTGTCATGTTTTTAGGGTATTTTTTTGTCTTTGGACATCATTACCCTGTGACACTAATCTTTTTAATTTTATTCTCTAGTCAATGAAAATATTTTCACCAATTTTTCCACCTGGTTGTAAAAATAAGATATAATTGGAAAAAATTAAATAATATGAATATGCAAAAATAATAAAATCTAACAAAATAAACAGCCCTCCAGATTTTTCTTGTGTATGCATGTGCACACACAGGAAATGTTTTGTAACCTGCTTATCACTTCATTGTATATTAATATATCTTCATATCTATTTTTAAAAATATAGCTCTAGTACTTTCATTTTTAAAAAGTTTCATGTAGTTTTGAATGCAATAACTTATTTACCCATCAATAAGTGCATCTCCAAGATTTTTCCAATTTTCTGTTAATGAACAACTCTGATAGGAATATCTGTATGGATACCTTTATATAATTGCCCAATTATTTCCCTCAAATGAAGACCTAAACCGATGGAGGCAAAACTATGGCACTTATGTTGTTTTTCTTTTTAAACCAAAATATGCTCATGTATAAGCTGGTTTTTCTAATCTAAAACCTCAGTATTCAGGTTTTATCGTAGTGTTGGCACTTTGCCATAAATAAGTGAGTTTTAGGTTGTAGTTTGGGCTTCATCTCTAAAAGTTCTGCTATCACTGCCCTAGACAATTAATGCCATGGGTTAGTTCTGTGAACATTTACTTTTGATTCATATCAGTAAATCCCTGTCCAGAAAGGTTATTTAAGAGTGCTCATGTTACCACATTCTAAAAATAGAAGCTAACAATATTTTTACTTTAGACAATTTAATGGGTATAAAATATTTCTATGTTTAAATATGTATTTCTATGTCTATTGGTGAGGGTGAGTATCTCATTCTTCTAAAAATTGTCCTTGTTTATATCTTTTAATTGCTTGTTCATGCTTTAAAATGTATTGTTTATTTTAAAATTGATTAGTATAATCTCTATTGATTAAGAATTTTTGTGAATTAAGAATATTTACATATTTGTGTCATATGTAATGCATGTAATTTTATTTAATGTTTTATCTTTGATTACAGACCCTTTGTCCATGGCATTTTATTTTTTATGAACAAATTTTTAAATGTTTTCTTTTAAACTAAAAATGGCCATCTCTGGTCCCACAGTGCTAAAGTTAGATGTACTCTTGATTTCATCAGCTGGGATGATATTCCATGGTTGGGGTAGGATCGCTAGGCACCCATGTGACTGTCAGAGAAAATACTTTCAACTTTACCTTGCACTAGTGAGCACAGGTGCTGAGGGATGAAGAGAACAGTCTACTTTCATTTGACTGGTTTAGGGCTTCTCCACCTCCAGAAGACAATCTTCCAATGCAGGGAAGAATCTCAGAAACTTGGTCATGTGAGAAGATTGAAAGGAGGACTTTCTTAGAAAAGAAATGACTCTTTGAGAGCATGATGATAACTTTTAAGTCTTTGAAAAATCCTTATGTGGACACTGTTGAAATTTCCTCCAGGGATAAAAATCAGTGGGTATAAGATACAGAGAAACTTCTATTCAATTTAAGGTAGAACTTTCTAACAGTCAAAAGTATCAGAGTACCAGTAAGCAGGGTTGGGTGGTATCTGTTGTTTGACATTATACGTATTTAAATAAAAGTTGAAATGTCTCTAAGGTACTTAGGTCTTTGTCATCTTTCACCTAGATTGATGAATAAAGCATTTCAATTGGACTCCCACTCTCTGGTTCATCCTCCTTTAAACCCACCCTCTGTACAATCATCAAGGTAATCCATCTGAAAAGCAGACTGCCCCTCCTACTTGTGTTCTTAAAAATGTTCAATGATTTTACATCAACTTCACTCCAACATATTAATCAGGTCTCCAGAGTTGCCTGTGAGTCCCTTCCTTCACCTCTATGGTTACAGTTTATTTCCTACAACAATAACCCATCTGTGGCTCATCCCATACACCAAGATATTTCTTCCCTTGATGTCTTTGTTGA